CAAACACTGTCTCTTGAGAGAACCTCTCATGTTTTCATGTCACAAGAACTTCCCCCTACACACTTGGAAGAGGGGGGAGAGGCAACAGTAGTTATTGCATTGACAAAGATGGACGACCCTTCCTCCCTCTGATTTGAGGTCAAAATATCCCTGACACGAACGCTGCCGTCTTGCATCGATGACATCATTGAGAGCCAGGGGTCCCGCCCAAACACAAGCTCAACCAATCACGAGTCAGTCTTAGCTGTTAATCATGATATCTCACTGTTTTTATGTCATCAAATAACTAATTGAAACCAAACTTACTGGAAAAATATACACTTGAACAGACTTGCATTTGCCTTTCTCTGTCTGTATGAGTGTGCATGAGTGTGCATGAGTGTGCATGAGTGTGCATGAGTGTGCATGAGTGTGCATGTGACCCATAAGCTAATATTGTTAAAGTATTCCCTGGGGCACGGGAACACGGGAAGACTGAATCAGTTCCTGACTCCTCCTTTGTCCTCTTTCATTAGAGTATAAAATCACTACTTTATTGATTGACTCTTTAACCTTTGCTACATCTGATCTCTAACGTTGTTATCTGTCCATCTCTCTGTTTTCCTCTTCAATTTTCTTTCTCTGTTTCTCATCCTCTTCATCCACTTTATGGACCCTTGATGACTACGAATTGTCATTTTTCTACCGTGTCCTTCTGCTCTTTCTCATCTCGTTAATATCCTTTTTTCCCCCTAATTGACCATTTTTCTTCCTCTGTCTCCTCCTCGTAGATTAACAGTTGCAATAGTTACCGAGGCGACACCCTGTGTTACCTTGCCCTGACCTCTCTCTGTCTGTCTTGAGAGAAGCATGACCTGACTGACCTCATTTCTACTTCCTTTTCACCATTATGAGGACGTCTTTTACTCAGATATCAAGAATAATGTTGATAAAAATGAAGCCTGGAAGTTTACAGCTACACAAGACGTGATTATGAACATGATCTGGAAACAAAAAGTCTGTTCAAATGCACTGAAGCAATGAGAAAATGTGTAAAACGCCTATTAAACTGTAATAATTATGTGCGTTAAAAGGATTTTTACTACATCGCCTCAGATGACTCCTGATGCTAAAAGCCTGTTTAATAGCTGAATCACATCTATTAGTTCTCACCATTCTGCAGTTAATTACAAATATGTCATCACTGCTGCCAACCAGCCAAAATAAAATGTGCATTTCAGATGTCAGCCAAATTATCTTGTATAATTTACATAAAACTGGAGCATTTATGTTTGCTGTGATGTTTACATGCTGTGAGTGGAGAAGCCACTGAATGTAAGATGGTGTTTTGTGAACTGCTTTTATGTTTTTCACAGCAGATGGCAATGAAGGGCACATCTGCAGGCACTTCTGCTGATTTACTTCTTATGGTCTGTGTGTGAGTGTGTGTGTGTGTGTGTGTGTCTGTGTCTGTGTGTGCGCACGTGTATGTGCATTTTAATGTGTCTGTTTATGTCATCTTCCAGGGATCTCTGCATGAATTCAGGCTGACCCTGAGAGGACAAAGGCAGGTGGAGATGGTGCTGAGAGCCACGGAATACCCAAGAGAGGGCGACTGAGTCATACCGTGACAGATAAAGAAAGACACGAGAAAAAGTGTTGGTAGCCAGTAAGCGAGGGAGATAGGGCATCTAAGAGAGGAAGAGGAGAGGGAAGGGAGGTGCAGTGGGACGGAGGACAGTGGATGGAAATAAGCACAATACTCTTCGGGGTGAAAGAACGAGAAGGAGAGAGACAGTGACAGGTAGCTGTTAAATCAATCTGAGGAGGACACGTCTTCTGTGTGACCTTTTCGCATGAATTCACACCCATCCACTCTCCTGCATCCAACTGCCCTTGTAGCTCCCCCTAGCTTCTATTTCATATTTTACATCATTTTTCTCACATAAACATTGGTGAGAAAAGGCGACAGCTCTGACCTCTTCTGCTGATTTAACATCAATTTAACTGTTGATTGTTCAACTTCTGCAAACTGCCCTGGATTAAAAAAAAAAGCCCAATACGACAATGAATGGCCTGGACACACATAAGTGAATCCAGCGTGGCTTTCAGGGAACAGAAAGAAGGGCGGCACGACTTTGGTCAAAATAGTAATCATGGTTATTTTGATCAAGATCACAGCTATTTACGTTGATTATTTATTGGTTGTATGGACAAATATTTAGCACAGCCTGAACTTCAATGTTGTGCTACAGTCCTGCTAATGTACAAATGATGGTGTGGGCCATGGAGGTTTTGCTAAATTTTCAGGGGGCCTCAATCCTCTGAAGTCTCTGCTGTCGACAAAAACAAGGAACATCGTGCCCCAAACTTGCAGCTCAGTGTTTAAAGCTCTCATCATCTCCTCTGTGAGTCCCTTCTCTCTCCCTGTGTTTGTGTGTTTCCTCTGAGTCACTTCGTTTATTTTCCCCACGTCCAAAGACTCGAATGCATCTCAGACATGAGGAACAGTGTTGGACTTTGTCTCAGACCACTTGTCACAGAGCTGCAGTCGATCCTCAGGCGCTGCGCTGTGGCTGTCATATGCTGATGATGGATTTCCTCGTGGGAGTCACTGAAGTATTTATACAGAATATTTATTGTTCCTTACAATGTTTAATGTCAGTGTTGCTGTTTGTTGCATGATCACATTCAGATCAGGAGCATGATAATATGAAGCATTTTGATAACTAAACAGACTATAATGCTTCTGGCTGTAGACATCCATATAGTCACTCATGGTGATGATACAATCACCCCTTTGTTTAGTATTTTATTATGGTCTCATATGAACCAATGGCTGCCTGTTGACCACTAGGTCAGTGTTTAAAAAATACAAAGTGGAATCATCAAGCAGCAAAATCTAGACTGATAGGTTCAGCAATGCTGCCCTCTGTGAGCCAAACTCTGCAATCACAACTTTTGATATGAAATTACGCACATAAAAATA